AAAACACAACGTAAATGTCTTATGTGGAAATGGGGACGTTGATCCAAATTTAATCATAATTCAATAATTTTTTTTGGGTTAATTGCAAACTAAGAAGCATAGACAGAACATAACGTTTGCATATCAGATTTTCTTTATTTCAATTTTAATCCGATTATTTAATGTGTTGAAAATTAGGTCTCAAATTCCTATTTTAATTAGAATTTTATTTTAGAGTTGTATTTTGTTAATCCTTGTCTAATAAGGAATTGTGTTTAAAACTCTATAAATAAATACCTAAGTTTTGGGTTGAGATTTATGAGATTGAAAGAGATATAGTCTCATGAGAGAGTTGATGGATATGGGTGTGTAGTATATGGGTTGGTAGAGTAAAAAAAAAACACTAGTAACATTGGTAGTGAAGAAATAGGCTCGTGGAGTGGTACAATAATGAAAAGACATGTACGTGGTGTTGGTACCCTATTGTTGTAATATCTCTGCGAATCATAGTGAACCATGTAATATCTCTATTGAATCTCTTCTCATTCATGGATGTAGCCTAAGTTTGGGTGAACCATGTAATATCTCTGTTGGTTCAAGAAGGGTTATCCAAGGCGCTGAAGGGGAATGATGCATTGCCAGAAAAGGTTAAGGACAAAAATGAGGTTATGGAGAAAGCACACAGTACAATTTTGTTGTGCTTGAGTAACGAGGCTTTGCGGCAGATGGGCTGTGGAATAAGTTGGAGTCCCGGTATATGATAAAATCTCTTGTGAACCGTTTGTATCTAAAGAAACGATTGTTCACTCTCCAGTTGCACGAAATTTCATCTCTTAAAGACCATCTTAATGAGGTAAACAACATCATCATGGACTTGAATAATATTGATGTCAAGATAGAGGATGAAGATCAGGCTATTATTCTATTGTATTCTCTACCACCCTCGTATGAGAACTTTGCCAATACGATGATGTATGGCAGAATTGCTTTGTCCCTGGAAGACGTGAAGGCAGCTCTGAATTCCAAAGTTTTATAGAAAAAGGCGTTTGAGGGCAATACAGAAAGTTCAACAGAAGAGCTGATTGTAAGAGGAAGAGTGAATCAGAAGGGAGGGTCTGAGCAAAAATCGTTCTTAGTCTAAGAACAAAACGAATGTGTACGTTGAGTTGCTACATGTGTCACAAGGAAGTGCACTTCAGGAAAGATTGTCCACAACATAAGAAGGGAAAGGTAAAATCCTCTGAAGTTGATAGTTTGGCTATTGCAGAGTGTAATGATTTAGCTGGTGATAATGCATGTTCTCACAATTTCAGTCTGCAGCTCTTGCGATGAGTGGATTCTTGATTCGGGTTGCCCATTTCATGCTTGTCCAAACATTGACTAGTTTATCTCTTATCGATTTATTGATGGACGGGAAGTTCTCATGGGGAATGATGTGGCGTGCAAAGTTATAGGTATCGATCGGTACATTTCGGATCAAGTTATATGATGGCATGGTAAGGACATTGATTCTTCGTCAATTTCTTTATAAAATATTTTTGTTAACAAGCAAAATAAGAATTAAGAAATATATTACATATTTTGCGTGGGTAAATTTTGTACTAAATCATAATATATATCTCAACATTTCGTTTTTAAATAACGTTTTGAACTTTTCTTCACAACTATACTATGATGATTTCGTTGAAAAAGTTATTTTTAATGTTTAAAATTTGTTAAAAATGTGTTCCAATTTGTGGTTGAAGTAGATATGAAGTATTGGATACGTGTTAGAAATAAAAATTATAAGTATATATTTTAAAATTATGAATACATCAAATAAATATAAAAACATATTTAGGAGTATTCAAAGAGTAAGAACACTATACAGATACATATATCACATACTATTGTAGAAGTATTACTTCCTAGATGGAGAGAATATATATATATATATATATCATAGCTTCTTGTAAAAATATATTACTCCAATGATGGCTGAAGGGGGTGTCACAGTGAACGCGGAAATAGCAGGTGCATATATTTTATGTACAATACAAATATATGTGTTTGGAGAGGGACAAGCATTGAAAATGTCGAAGCTTAGCTTGATCCAGCTGTTTTAGTTATTATTAGCAAACCCACGTTTTTGGTGTCCTCTCCACCTGATGAACAAATATTCAAACCCTAAATTATTGTGCTACTACTTTGATTACTAATTTGTTATATATGCTTGTTTAATTAGTGGACTATTAATTAGACAATGACATTCTCATTTAGTGGAGCAAGCTCATTTTTCAGAAAATAATGCAATTTTGAGAATTATATATATATATATATATATATATATATATATATATATATATATATATATAGATACTAGAATGGCTAAATTATAGAATAACACAGTGACTTTTGTATTCATAGATTCTTTGAAATTGGTCAAGGTCCATCTCAAATGTATGATGTATGCCCCCCCCCCCCCCCCCCCCCCCCAAAAAAAAAAAAAATGATAGTCAAGGCTAAGCAAAAAATTTAATGGAGGGGCTGAAGTGACTTCATTCGGTTAGTTTGTTCATTGTAAATAGCTATTAAATACTTATTATTATTAGTATTTATAAAAATAATTATTATATATATAAGAGGTGTGCACTATATTATCACGGATCCCATCATTCGTACGGGGAACAATTACACGAATGTGTGCTGAAATATGTGTAATGTTATACACAAATGATTTCTAAATCATTATTGATAGAATTATTATATTTCATGAGACCGTTGACTTAATTAATTGACCAAGTACTCTCAATAATGTGCACTACAATTCAGGGTGGAACCAGAAATTAAATTTAGAGGGGCACAATGTAAAAAATATATATATATATATATAATCACAATAATAAATATAAATTCTATAAATTAAGAGACAAAAAAGAAAAATTACTCAAAATAATATATCAATCAATGACTAATTTAAGAAAGATAAATAGTTAACAAAAAAAATTAAAAATGAAAGAAAAATGAGAGAGCTTAGAAAGGGAAAAAAAATTGGAGTTTGATTCAAAAGGGAAATTTTGACTTTTTTTTAAGGAAATTAAATAAATTTATAGAGTAAAAAAGAGAAGAAATATAAAATTTAAGAAATTATTTTTAGAAATAAAAATTTCAGGAGGGGCATTATACGAATTTTTTCATATATATATATGTAAAAATATATAAATTTAGTATATATATTATAGTAAGCGGGGCCAGGTCAGGAGGGACACGTGCCATCTCTAGTCATGCACCGGCTCCGCCCCTACACGACACTCTCATTATCTCATATGATGAAGTACACTTACACTTATATAAATGATGAATTATCTCGACTGCATGTGACAAAAAATAACACGACTCTTATTTATAATACGAAATATTCAGTAAATTTAAAAATATTATATAAGATTTAGAGTCTATGTTCAACGCCTTTGGGAGACAAAAGGTAAGTCCATGGATCGTTTTGTCTTTGAAAGTAAAGCTCACACAAGAGGAATTGAAAAGATCCTTTTTACATTTTGTATTTGATTTATTTTTGGGACCCATTAAGTAGGTTTATGCATTAAGAATACACTACTGCTTGTGCACTTAAAAAAATAAGTAAATTAAGGCTGTTATGCTTTACAGACAGGATTTGAGGGTGTGGACAATATTAGGATAGAATGATAGATTATCATATGATACATTTTGCAATTTAAAAATTAACCTATATAATGCTGTTTGGAATATTCACTTTATTTAGGAAATTAAATATGAACTAAATATATAGATCATGCTGACTTCATGCATTATTTTGATGTGGCTCTTGGATAAATTTAGAAAGTATAGATACAGATATGAGACACGGGTGCGACATTATATGAACACAATTATGTAACAAATCTTAAAAAAGTATGATAGAGTACGACATGTGTATGTCAAAAATAATAAAATAATATATATTATTACATACATAACAAATATTTTTTACCATTTTATTCATATAATCAAGAATAAAATCACTAATTTGAAGCTTAAAACTGGATGTTTTATTCTTTTTGTTTTTTTAAATTTTAGATTATTTTTTAAATAAATTCATAATATAATTTAAATTGCATTGAATCTCATTTTTTCAAAAAAAATTAATTACAAAACTACCTATCGTATTTTGGAAGTATCCAAAACGTATCACTATTGTGTTCAACTTAAAAATAAAATATTCAATTTTCAAAATACTTCTAATTGTATCCGACGCATGTCCAAGTAGTATCTACGTATCCGATAAGTGTCTGATACCACCCACGAGGCTTCCTAGAGACAAATCCTATATGTTGTATACATCCAACGTGTTATCTTAATCTTTAGATACGGATAAATAGTCTATATATGAATTTACGTTAAAAAAAAAAAAAAAAAAAAAAAAAAAAACAATAAATAATAATCTAATGTCTAAACCTAAAGTTTCTTAAATTTATATCAATTCTAGTTAGCTAATTAACAATATTCTTTTTCCTTAGAGTACCTATAATTAATTAATAGGGTATGTGTCTCAAAGTTATCTTATTGTAATAACGAGTATAAGTTAAGATGGTATAATATTTCCTCTTCAAATTAAAGGAAATTGAATGTTCGGAGTAAAAAAAATTGAATATTTTAGTTTTATTAGCGATAACATTGTGAGTGTGTACGCCTGTGCTTAAACTTTTAGTAAGAAATTTTTTTTTTGAGAAAATATATAATTGCAGTATAACATATACTACGTAAATACACGAGAGAAAAATATACATCAGACAAGTAATAGCTAATTTTTTCTATGGGTTAAGAATTGAACACCCATTTTTTAAGAAATAAAAATAAAATAAAAAAGCCCTTTTTAAAAGTCATCACAATACCTTTATCACCAATTCACCATGCAATCCTAGGACTCAATGGTTGTGGTGTCAAACAAACAACCCAGTCAACTAATGAATAAAATCAAACAATGAAATTTTGACACGAAGATTCTCTGGTCCAATAGCATTTTATGGAAGAGTAGGGCCCAGAATCTCCCGCCACCTCGGATCAAACCGCGTCCTAAACAGGGAATTAACACCACCCCACCAATCCCTTTCAAATGCAAATTCACTTTTTTTTTTTTTTTTTTCCACGTTAATTTTGAGTCACATTTGTTCATGAAACCAGCAAATGTGATGTTGAAATTGCTTGGAAGCTCCCTTAATCTTCTAATATGTGACCACGTTGCAATCATACTTGAAATGACTTTAACATATCCACATCTATATATACATGACTGGATCACACTTACTCTTCCCTGAATTTCTTTGTCAATATTTCAATACATTGCATCAACAACTCAGTTAGCATCATGGAGGAGCCAAGTAGCAACCAAGGTGGATGTAGCATGGCCTCGCCTTACAGGGGAGTCCGGAAGCGAAAATGGGGCAAATGGGTATCCGAGATTCGCGAGCCAGGGAGAAAAACCCGAATTTGGCTAGGAAGTTTCGAGACGGCGGAAATGGCGGCTGCAGCATACGACGTGGCGGCATTGCACCTTAGAGGTTCTGAAGCGCGGTTGAATTTTCCCCAACTCAAGGACAATCTCCCTCAGCCTGCAAGCTCGAGTGCTGAGGATATACGTTTGGCGGCTCAAGAGGCCGCTTTGGGTCTCAAGAGGCCCACTCGAGAGCCTGAGGCAGGTAATTCCAGCTCCAACCCTGGTCCGGTAAGGATAGGACTCTCTCCGAGTCAAATTCAAGCAATTAATGACTCACCTCTAGACTCACCCAAAATGTGGATGGAGTTGGTTGATGCCCTTATGATAGAAGAACATACCATATTTTCTAATGATATTGAGACGAGTGATTGGGAAGAAATACCTGATGATTCCCTTTGGGATTCCTAGGTAATCCAATACTAAAAACTATAGTAATGACCGACCATAATTATTTAATTATATGTAGTGACTTTCTAATTATACTATAAGGTCTTCTATATACTGTATTAAAAAAAAAAAAAAAAAGAATGCCAAGTCCTAGGAGTACATGCTTGGTCATTTGAATTTTTCAACATCAGGGTTTTTTAGTAATGTATTGGGAGAAAAAGAGATTGACTTTCAAAGTAATTGCCTTTTGTGGGGGACTTTCATATGGAATTCACTAATTCAGTGATGCAAGAAACTGAACCAAGGATTAGAAAAGCCATTGAATTAGAACAGTGGGTAGAGAGCGTGCATGTTTGTGTGTGACTTCATTTTAATGGTTCCACTTTTATATGAAGGGTCCCATAATCAGATGAGTTGATTTTTGACAGCTCATTTGAATGAGATTTAGTGAGTGAATTTTGTAGTGAAAGGGCTAGAATTTCAACTCTCAGAGATACTAGATCTTTTATGGCCATTAGTCGGAGTGATGTAATTTATCTTGTTTCTTACTCTTATTTTATTATTATTATTATTATTATTATTATTATTATTTTGGGTAAGTTTGTTTCTTACTTTATATGTAAAAGAAATGAATTTGTTGTTATAATAAAGTAATTTTGATTGTTAGTTCTACTTTGTAAATGTATTGTGTACTATTTATCCACTGTGACACCTCTTTTTAATCAAAAGTGAAGTTGTAGTAAAAAGTACTGTACATGGGTTAGTAGTTTTAATTATTTTTTTTTTTTTTTTTTTTTTTTTTTCATCATAATTGGTGTTGTAAAAATGAAAAAATTACAGGTGCACAAAAGGACATACCCACATTTTAGAACCAGAGAAACAGGCATTACAATCATCCTATAAAGAACAGGCCCATTTCGAGCACAAGCTAAAACAACATAACAAGAACCTAATGTAAAAGATCTTGAATTGAGGCATTATTAACATCCAGTACATAAGAGTTGTCTAGCCACCTCTTGAGAAGACTTAGGATCTGATCCGTGAAGTCTATTATTCCTTTCTTGAAAAATACCCCACAATGCAGCCACAAACAGACACTTGAGAAGTTTGTTAGTGTTTTGAGTAAACCACATAATCAATTCTATAAATTACATAATCACAGAAAACTGGCCCATCCTCCAACCCAGCACTTCCCCCTACCAAAACCACATTTCTCGAGCAAATTGGCAAGCCACAAATGTATGATCTCCTTCTTTACGGGTTGATCATAGTTGGTAACTTATCTTGAAATACAAACACCCCATGCACAGACCAACTAGGTCTGGCTTTTCCCAAACGCACACTATGCCACACCACTTCTTCAACAGCCCCTCTACAACTAGGCCAAGCCCATTTGAAAGAAAACCCACCTCCATCTCATAGAAACCAAACTTCTCTAGCATGGATTGGAATAGTAGAAAGAAATTCTCGAATAGGGTTGAACATGTCTTCATGTAATATTCCCACATTCCAACTTCCATTAACCATAAGACTACAGAGAGTCGAGTCCCTAGGCAACCCTAATCTTCTAAGCATTCTATGACCAAACCTCTGTACCAAAGTATGTCCATTGCACCATAGATCTGTCAAAGTTTTAAAAACATGTCCATTTCCCACAAAAAAAATTGATGTGTTGCTACAATAACTCTCTAATGTTGATCATAGATTTCCATATAACAGAGTGAGAAGTCCTAGGAATCCTAGGAATCACATTCCAATAAGAAGAATTTGTGATGGCCCTGGTTTTACAATCCAGTGCGTGCTGTGATGACCTGAGGTTGATCCGATAACGGATCCCGAACGCGGAAGCGAAAGACAAAACCAAGATCTCTAGAAATATAACACATCCCTAAGACCTTTCATGAGGTCACGGAACTCAAAGAAAATAAAGTGCGAAAGCGACATTTTAAAAACGGAGAAGTACTACCCTAGGGGTAAAATGGTCTTTTTAAAACGAAATTAGGTGCTACCAATTACACCATTGGATAGACGACAAAAAACAATGAAGTTAGACTCAAAAATTGCCTGATTCGGAGTCCGGACGAAGAAGTTACGATAGTTTCAAAATCCGGTTAAGAAGTTGCCAAGGAGGACACCATGGGCACTTACGGGCACACGCTGTGCACGCGCGTTGATGCACGCGGCAAGCACCCTAACAAGTCGAAGCCCAAGTGAAGAAAAAGAGGCTTGCACTAGAATTTTGAGATATAAATGGGATTTTGAGGGCTTAAATGACATTTTTTTGCAAAAAAGTTGTGAAATAACAACCCCCCCCCCCCCCCCCCCCCCAAAAAAAAAAAAAATCATGTTTTCTAAGTGACCACGTCAAGAGAAGATCTTATTTTTCAAGTGAAGTACCCAAAATATCCTTAAGATCAGATTTTGTAAAACACATGAAAATGAATGCTACTCTTCGTGTTCATTTCATCAAGAATGGTGTTGTGTGCAATTTTGAACATGCACGCAAACGTAATATGCATTTTTAAGCGTGCTACGATAGCCTAGGGCTTTAATACATGTCATTTGCAAAATATTATACATCAAACCTCAATTTCGCAAAATGTTCTCAAGTAAAACATAGAACCAAGTGAGTGTACATGTAAACTAAAATTGTTTGGCCCTTGGCCTCAAGTCATACGTATAAAAAGTTTCCAAAAGAATGTGATTATGCACACATTACACATCCGAAATTAAGAGTGACATGTCAAACCAAGTGTTATATTACAATTTCACAAGAAAGTAGAGCATGTTAACACTTGCATGCATGTGAAATTACACAAAAGGGTAACCAACTACTACGCCAACTAGGGATATTGTGCATCCCAAAATAAAGTTTCCTTACCTAAAAAATATTCCAAACAATGGGGGTGAGTAAACAAGTTACTCGTAGGAAATGAACATGCGTATAACCTAAAGTTTTAATATTGGTTTTGCAAGCTTAGTATAAACCGATCCATGTGGTTCATGCTACCTAACGTCTATGTCCAAAGTGAGACTATGGAATTATCCTAAGCTACCTTAGAACATTTCTAGCATAAATCACAATATTAACGTAATTTAACAAAATTAGAGAACCGAATATACAATAACAAGTTACAACTTCATAATGTTATCAACTTGAAATTAAAATACAAAATCAACAAGGAACAACAATATTAACATAATTTAACAAAATTAATGGTTTTGTAAGTTTAGTATAAACCGATCCATGTGGTTCATGCCACCTAACGTCTATGTCCAAAATGAGACAATGGAATTATCCTAAGCTACCTTAGAACATTTCTAGCATAAACCACAATGTTAACGTAATTTAACAAAATTAGAGAACCGAATATACAACAAGAAGTTACAACTTCATAATGTTATCAACTTGAAATTAAAATACGAAATCAATAAGGAACAACAAGTTACAACTATTCAGTGTTATTAACTTGGAATTAAAAATACGAAATCGACAAGTACAACAAGTTACAACTATTTAGTGTTATCAACTTGGAATTAAAATATCAACAAGGAACAACAAGTTAAACAATTTAGTGTTATCAATTTGGAATTAAAATACAAAATCAACAAGGAACAACAATTTACAACTATTTAGTGTTATCAATTTGGAATTTGAAAAGCGAAATCAAACAAGGTGGATATACTATGGATATCAAGCCGGATTAGAACCAACGAAATTGGTTACTTTTGGGTTACTAGCCCATTGATAACCTCCCTAAGTGCGCACTATAAAGTAAGAAGAATTCTTATCTCCTGTACTAGAGCCTTATCTAGCCATGTCACAACAACGATGCCCAAGAATTCAAAATCAACAAATTGTGCAACAACGCATATACACATATACCAAATGCACTTAGCCACTTACCATACACAATCAAATTAGATTACACACAATACATGTTCTAAGTCCTCAATTACAATGGTATACAATATGTCAAATACAAAGTGTGTATTCCTACAAGTTATACTATGCTACCAAGGCATGAAACACAAGTGTGTAAGTATACTACAAGTTCCAATTCCATAGTTTAAGTATAAATACAACATTAATACATAATTAAATCAATGGAAACAATATATAAAATTAATAATTATATAAAATAAAAATCTCTAGATTTCTAAACATATCTAACAAAGCAAGTTTAATATATGTTAAAGATCAAGTCTGTGCCTAATTTAATAACATGTCTTAAGTTGATTTCATACAAGTTACAACTATGTGAAATCTTAAAAATTAAAGAAAGACATGCATACACTTTATATAAACTTCAAGAACACTTAAAACACTAAGGATATAAACATGAAAACACTCCCTATCTTACTAGAGGATTGTCCCTCTAGAATCCAAGGCAAACAAACTCAAATTGCAAAACTGAAAAACAGTCTTCTAGATTAAGAAAAGAGGAAGCTGTGATCGTCAATGTTGGAGACCAAATTCCTCAAGCAGGGGGGTCGAATTTCAGAAATGGCAAAACAGGTTCCAGGATTTCCCAAACTGCCTACTCAAGATTCACCCCTCTGGAATCCCATGCAAACAAGGTCAAAATGAAAAACTAGAAAAAGGTGTTTTAGATCAAGAAGAGAGGAAGATATAATCTTCAAGGCCCAAGATCAAAATCCCAAGGCAAGGGGTTCAAAATCTGAAAATGGCAAAGAGGGTTCTGTTTGGCTGCAAGGTGGAAGTTTAGAGAAAAATGAAAATTTCTCTAATTCCTCCACTAACTCAAACCCTAAGTTGGCCCATGTTGACTTTTCTAGCTCAAATTTGCCAACTCAGTAAGTGTGTTTACATCACCTATTACTTTATTATCTTGGCAGCCAAGTTGAGTGGTCAAGAAGTTGTTCGTGGATAGTAAGTATACTTGATGAGCAAGCACATATTGATGATTTCTGGCTATAAATAGCCTTTACCAATGGCATCTAAAAGGCATCCTAAATCATCAAAGTTTGTAATATCAGTTGAGGTGTGAGAGAGATTTTGGGTGTAATTTGGGTTTTGGGTGTGAGTCACTTTGCCTTATATCTCTTTATTTCTATAATGAAATTTTGTTCTGTCTTCTCCCCGTGGATGTAGGCATAGCCGAACCACGTAAATTCTT